GAGCACACACGTATACATATTCATATGATGATGCAGGCATACCTAAATGAGCAATACTTCTCAAGTTACTTTCTGTCCCTGTTCTTAGTCACTATCTACAAGGAGGGAACAACTGCTATCTATAAGGAAAGCAATAGTTAAGGAGGGGAAGAAACAAATTGTTCAAGGTGCCAACTGCCAGGACGAAGACATCCTCTTGTGATAAGGGGTTTACAATCAGCCCAGTTCATGTCAGCTTCAAGGGTGCTGCATATTCCTTTATGTTTCAATTTTATTAAGGCAATCCCATTCATCTGAGGCCTCTAAGAACTTGCTTCTTTCACCCAAAGATTCACCCAAATATATATTTTCCTCATTTTCCTCACAATATTATCGTAGAATTGTAGACTACTGTAGAATTGTAGGATCATGTATCATGGGCACAGCATCTTGCTCACTTCCCACAAGTAACAGGAAATATACTTACTTGAATATTGCTACAAAAGCAGCAACTCTCCAGCTCCACCGCCAGCCATATCGGATGAATCCCCTGATTGCTACACGTTGCATAGATTGCTTTGGAAAAAGTAAGCAAAATTATATGATGTCAAGGCATTCTATATGCACTATTCTTAATGTGAACTGAAAGTGTGCTAATAGAAACCAGGTGGGGAATTCTGGGAGTTGAAGTCCACACTTCTTAAAGTTGCCACAGTTGAGAAACACTGCTCTATAGTATATATAAATTCCTTACACAGCTTTCTGTTTTGTAAAAGTAATATATACCCATCCAGACTTCTACCATGATTAAACCAGATCACAGGAAACAATTCAAATGAATTTAATGGTACTATAAATAAACACTAGTTTGTACATGGATGCACAGAATGTATTCTTTTAATAACTGATTTTCAATATTTGACTCAAAAATGTTGTCAGTGAAAACTATTATATAAAATATAGTAACTTTCTGTGGTGCTTGATTTCTGATTTTTGTTTTTCATGTACAAAACAGCAAGTAACAAAGTAAATAATTAAAACCTATTTAGAGGATTACATTTAATGTACTCCTCTATATACATATTAATGTAATAGTGTTCTATTTTTGTCAAATATTTGTCCATACCACAGCATCCAGGCGATTATGGTAGATTTCTCCTTTACACTGCTCAATATACTGCTTTTTGGCATTTACAAATCCAGGCACACCTCCATAGACCAAGCCAATAACACCCCCTGTAAATGTTGCTTTAATTATATTGATAGTTTCTTCTGGGTATTCATTTTGTTCACTGCAAAAGAAAATTTGCTTCATGAAACATTCAGAAACCGTTCAGGGCTAAAACAATTTTATGAAATTATCTGTATCCTTCTGAATAATAATTATAACTGCAAATAAAAGGGAATATTTCTTTTCTAGACATATGATAAAGCTAGCAATATTGTGGATGCATATGGACATAACCTTTCACAATGGATTAATGAAATTTCAGTAAATGTTAGACTGATCCCTATCTCATTCTGCTTTCTTCCACCTATAGGCTTTCAGCATTATAGGATCTTCAAAAAATGCCTTTACAATGAAGTTGGACTAGATTTATTTATTTATGTATTTATTTATTTATCAATCATATTTATCTAGCTGCCCATCTCACACAAAGTCATTTGCATCTACAGTTCTGAGATAATCTGGCCCCATTCCCCGATTAGCATAATGAGCATTTTAGGCTCAGGATACATTTGAATGTTAGCAAGGCAGACTGAAGGAGGGGAAGACAGCAATCAGCTGAGTCAAAGTCAAAGCACCACTGCATTCAATCCCGAACCGGCTAGCTTAGTACTGGGGTGTATTTGCACTGGTAGACTGAAGCTCAGAAAAACGTGAAACAGTGCCAATGTTCACGAAGCACACCAAACCATGAGTAACTGAACTATGGCTTAATGAATTCACCCTATTGCTAATCACACTGCTGACTGATTTGACCGAATACACTGAGCCACAAGTTCGCCAGATGTATTTCAGCCAAGCATGCTGAGCGAACTCGGCAAGTAATACGGAAAAAGCTTTCTGACCGCACACAGAAACTGGGAAAGGCAGAGAAGGACGACGTTGGGCCTAATTTGGAAAAAGCACGTCATTTTTGAATTATATACGTTCCCTCCCGCACCCGCTAGAACTCAGCTGGGCTCTTGCCGTTCACTTACTTCCGCCAAAAGAGCTCCCGAACTCGTTCCCAGCCTGAGTCCGGTGGCTGCAGCCAAGGTGGCGAGCCCTCCGGCGCGCCTAGCAGCGCGGGGACTGAAGCGGCGCTTCCCGCACCCACCTCTGTGGGCGGCCATGCCGTCCCCTCGCCCGGCCGCTCCATAGTCGCCGGCACCTGCCCGGGAAGTCTTTGTGGGAGCTTCCCTGCCGTGCGCTAGTGCGTCGAAAAGGAAAGAGCGCCCCTCTGTCGCCTTGGGGGATGTAGCGCATCCTCGTACCCTATACGAGAAACGCCGCGTGAAAAAGAAGCGGCGATGAATACTTTCTTTTTCCGTTTTATCTTTAGAAACCGCTTGAGTGCCCGCACTGACTCTTTTTAAATAAGCGATGGAAGACCTTCCGTCCTCCTTCCCCTCCCCTCCCCTGCCTCCCCCTTCCTGTCCGCCTGCACTTAGGAAGACGTCATTCTTATATCCTCGGTGCCATCCCCTTTATTCTTCTTTACCCAGGAACAAGCAAAACAAAATACCTTTTTCCTTCCTGTCCCCACCAGCCCTTCCCAGCCTTTTAAGCTTTTGTGTCCAAAACCTTGAACCCCTCTCCTTGCATCCCTGATTTCCACAATTACATGTCTCCCCGCCTTTCCACTTGCTCCGAGCCCTACCGGCTACATTTCAAATGTTCTCTGCTTAACTAAGACTCAGTAGGCAAAGATCCGATTACTTAAACAGTTTGTGGGAACTGTCCTGGAAAATCTTAAGGCATGTTTTGCTTCTTAACCCCCACCTCTGGCCCCAATACAAAAAAGTCCAAGTCTAAACAGCAGAAGTGTATTTATAGAGGTGAATACGTGTAGCTCAGGGTTGAACTGTGGAGTCCTTGGGGTTCTCTGTGCTTGGTTCTTTTCTTGCAAACATTTCATTACCCTGCTAGGTAATTTTCCCAGCTAGGTATTTCCCAAAACGTGTTGCATCTATGTGGCTGGAAAGCCAATCTGTGTACGTTGTTTGTCTTGTTGGGTGGGCATTTGCACCTATAGTGTGGAAAAGTGATAGAGATGCTGGAAGTGTTAGGCAGAATCTTAGCATCAATTGTACCTACTGATAGATGGAATTACAATTCAGAATTCAAGCAGGCAATCTGCTTGGTCCTTCAGATCCACATGGGCTGGGGAGGAATGCATCTAGTCACATATTTAACTGATAGTTTCCCAATCACTTGATAGAGATGCCCCTGACAAACTCTTGTCTGATGTATCTGCACAAAATATAGCACTTTCAAAAATCCCACCTACTATTGTGCAGACAAACATCCAACAGGTCAACAATCCACCCACAGCTGTCAGCCTTGTGAGGTGGACTAGACAGGAAGCAAGGCCAGATGAGCTAATCCTATTTTATTGTAAGGTTACAGTAACAGAATCTTGCAAGCCTGAAAGTACATTCCTCCCCTCCCCACTCCCTTTACAGCCCAAGAAACTAGGGAGGGACCCTTCTGAGCCACTTGCCCCGGCCACCTTCCTGCTGCGGGCTAAGTTGCCTTTTATCTGACTGTTCCCTTGGCTGCCTCTCTTCTCCCTGTCTTCCAGGGTCATTCCCACATACCATTACAAAGCTGCATCCCTACTGAGGACACATTGCACCGTGCCTTTTAGAGATGTGATGAGTGTCATGCTGGAGCATAAATCTATTTGTTTTATCGATAGGAAGCTCTAACAGTCAGTTTACAATTTATGCACACATTAGAATCTGGCAACCACTGCTCCTGAATTGTTCTATCCTGAAACCTGGGGGAATACATAGTGAAAAATACAGCTTGCACCTCGGCAAATTATACTGCAACCATCATATGGAAAGATTATTTCTCTCTACTCTACCTTTGGAAAGGAAAGGGTATATGTAAACATAAACTTGCCTGCAGCAGTCCTACTATTGGAGAACACTCATTTGATTTTCTTATCTCTATGAACCAAGCTCAAGATAATGCCTTCTAAATGTGGACTATAACTCCCATCACCAGACACGAACCTTCCTGGTCGAGAATGATGAAAATTGTAAATCAAATTCATCCAGAGGATGACAAATTGCAGAATGCTGCAAAAAGTGACTTCCAAACTTTTGCCCTGAGTTGAGAGCAATGAAAACCTTGCAAAGCTATGAAATTATATATTGTTCTGGAATAAGCAACATGCAGATATGTAGCTTTCAATTTTTTTATTGTTATTTCAATCCAATATTTTTATTCCAAGTGAATTCCAAGAGCCAAAGAAATGTGAAGCTTTTTAAAAAGGGTGCATGAAGTAAATCATTCCATAAAACTGTTCTCTGGCAACTGTTAATAATACATGGCTGTCAATTTTGTTGACATTCAAAACCAGCTACCCCAGGAGACTGCCTCACGATGTCCAATGATAGAGCTAGCCCTATATTTTACAATGTTGCTTTTTTTCTTGGAAAATAAGAATACTTTAAATCTGCAAGAGAAGGCTTCATAAAAAAATAAGCAAACAACCCCCCACTGATATACTGACAGAAAAATCAGTTGCTCAAATATTTCCACTAATTATGACAGAAAAAGGATTCATAGGTAACATTTATATTTTAAAAAGGCAAGTGATTTATATATTCCAGCACACAGCAATGGTGTCTTTTCGGAAATATTAAACATAAAAAATAAACAGAAACGTTAAGATGGCATGTTAAAGAAGGTTCAGACTTACAGTGTTTGACAATATCTCTTTGGGAATTAGGATGATAAGTGGTATGTGTTTATCAGCTAGAATGTACATCAGTGTTGTCCAAACTTGGCCACTTTAAGATGAGTGGACTTTCAACCCCCGAATTCTTGGGGTTGGAGTTTTCTCCTTTTTAAATGGGCCAGTTTGGAGAACAATGCTGGTCATTCTTTGCTTTTAAAACCAAACAC